GATACATTTCCTTTACGTCATTTCCAAATAATTTATATCGTTAGAAACATTAAGCAGCTTTACAAAGAAATCCCATTAAAGTGATAATATGTTTCACACTGAAGCGTATTCACACTAATCTCTACATCTGAAAGAAAACACGCGCGATTTACACGATAATATCGATTAACGGAAATGTAAGCCAAACAAGTATAAGGCTGTAAGTTGCAACATTAATTTTTTACAATACATCTTGTCTCTTGTGCGAAAATTTATAATTGTAGCAAACAGAGCAGAATGAATTCCCGGCAAGTGTCTTGAAAGCAAAAATAAATAACTGCGCTTTGCACTAACTAAAAACTAAAGTATCCAATTGAGAAAGAATTCTTATATGTCCATCGACTCGACATTCACAAATGACAACACCATTTCTGATATTTACAATCCATTGCAAAAGTTGTCCCCAACCAGATTCACATTCATATTTTACAGAAACGATCGACAGACTAAGAACTAGATACATCCGCTTTTTATAATTCCATGAATATTCTTGTTTTCTGATGAGCAGATCCGGAAGCAGATCTACTCTTGACAGTTTGTAATATTCCAAAAAATAAATTTGCCTGATACTTTTATGCGTTATGTCCTAAATCATTAGACAGAGGCAATAAGGATTTGTGTGATGCACTTACCTCGTCAAAAAAGACCTGAGTCTTTCGCAAAATATGCTTGAGTTCGGTTAGTTCCAGGAAGTTACGTTTGAGTGCCTCAGCATTCTGATTTACTTCCCGCAACTCGTTCTCCAGTTTCTCAAAGGTAGCTTCCAGGTCGATCATTTCCCGGGGTTGGGGAGCCTCTGGATTTTCTCCAGTATCCAACATTGGAATGCCATCCTTCTTGATTTCTTTCTCCAGATAACGCAGCTTGCGTTCCATCTCATCACAACGTCGTACCTCATTGACAAACTTCCGTTGGAAAGCATTGACGTCGGGATTTAACTAAAATAAGATAAATATACATAATAAAACAAAGATATAATAAAACAAAATAATGATAAGGTATAATGATAACAATCTACAGTTATCAATTATCTATGAAGGAGAAAATTATTGGGCCACTAAGAGGTAAGAGAAAATGATAAGAAACGCGATTATTATAGGCACTTACATCGCGAAACTGTACTAAACCGAGTTCGCCGAGCTCGGAGACGCAAGCATACGCAGCTTCACTTTGAAGGAACAGCTGACATAAAGTCATCTCCTCGCTGCGAAAGAGCGAACCCATTTTTGTGATTGAAAGTGCTGCAATGATCAAGTAGGTTTTATTTCATCGACTGACACTTGGTCACACACTTGGTTCTCGTTATCGTCTGCTTGAAACTGCGATCATGGATGGAACCATACGTGATAATTACGATAACGGACCGTAAGGTAACGCGAACGATCGATTAGTCACGAGATGCATGAGCGCAAGTCGCGTGGTAAGAATGACCTTGCTACACCCATGATATAAATACAAGAATTGGGTTCGGAAATCCCACCTGAGTGACCTGTATTATCTTATCCTTATTTAACATTGGGTGAATAAGAAGATAAAATGATACACGGGGAATTTGGATAATATTTCTGAACGCAGTCAAAGATATGTTCTTGCGCATATTTCGGAAAGAAGAGCAATCAGGAACATTGTTCAAGTCTACGTCAGAATGGAGTTCATGGAATATAAAAAATAGGAGGCTGAACTTACATGGACAAAATCGTCAAAAAGAGTGGTCAAAAGTTATCATCTAAATTAGTTTCGAACCTAAAGACTCTTTAATCAGAGATAGACCATAAGGATTTCGTCAAATTCTTCGAGTGAGAAAGGAGTATAGGTCATCTCACCCACCAATCTCCTCCACCAATAGCAGTGTGTATACATAGTACACCGCTATTGGTGGAGGAATGAGATGGATTTATACTCCTTTCTCGCTCGAAGAAATTTAACGAAATTCTTAGGGTGAAATCACATGGTGCGGAATAGGACTGCGGAATAGAGAATGCATCATTGAAGCAACCAATCAGCGTTATTCTACATTTGATGTTATGAAATAGAGAATGTCTATAACCTAATCGTAACTATAATCTAACTATAACCTAATCGTAACCATGTTTTTGTAATAAACCATGTTTTTGTATTTTGAGAGGTTAAAATAATTTGAGGCTGAGTGAAATAATATGATGAAATCGTGTAATGTTGAGTAATGTTGAGACGAATAAAGTAAAAATGACAAAATCTAAGTGCGTAAATATAAAGATCAAAAAACAATGACTCATAAAAAAACAATGACACGTACAACTTCAGCGTGCTCTGTTCACATAATGCGGAAAAATGATAGTAAATGCTAAATGATAGTAAATTAAAGTGATTCAAAAAATTGTTATGAGATTGTAAATATTAATTATAAATATTAATTATAAATATTAAATACTACACAGTGACAATTGTTTTTACAATTTATTAAATTATATTTCATTTTAATAAGCAAATTATTAACATAAAGTTAGTAATGTTTAACTTATATTCATTCTGGATACGTCCTTGACACACCAACATAGCACACAAAATTTTCATGATAGAGAAGGGTGGAATAGCGCTGATTGGTTGCTTCAATGACGCATTCTCTATTCTGCAATCCTTTTCCGCATTGTGATTTCACCTTTAAGCCGGAATCAGACTACGCATTAAAAAATGAGATTGAAGATTGAAAGATTGAAGTTTGACCAATCAGAACAAAAGAAACCAAAATTTTTTGTCTTCATTGATAAAATTTCAATCTTTAATCTTCAATCTCAATATTTAGTGCATAAGCCTTGTGTCCACGATGCTAGAAATCGACCCGAGATCTCGGATGAAGAAAGAATTGACCAATCGCAATGATCATGTGATCAAATTGTTCAAATGTTAATTTTTTTCTCTGTCCAAGATCTCGGATTGATTTCTATCATAGACACAAGGGAATCGATTCTTATCTAAAATGAGGAAAATTACAAAAGTGAGCGAATTTACTAGAATACTGATAATTTCATTAATCAATACCTAGTAAATTTGCTCACTTTTGTAATTTTCACCTTGTTTGAAAATACAAAATCTCAAGGCTATAGTCTAATTCCGCTTTATGGTCAGTCTTTGATTGGCTGCGTTCAGCAGAATGTTAATTTTGCAACTGTGGAAGTTTTCTTCGCGCTGATTGGGTTTGATGCGTTTAAATCAAGAAGAATGGTCCAATCTCAGAGAATCATAAAAACGGTTGCAAAACTATTGTGTTCTGCTGAACGTAGTCGTTAAAGAGTCTTTAATTCGATTGAGATGTCGCTTTTATTCCACTATATCGTTCTCGCAGTTTGTACAATAGGTTATATAAATTTTACATAAAGAATACTCCATTCTTTATGCAGTTTTAATAATTTACGTCTTCCTGTTAAGATACAATCACAATAGAAGGAATAAGGAATTAGGAATAAGGAATAATGATTTCAATCTATCAGATATCGGATACATCAGAATACACGATTTTTATAGGTTGGAATCCTTATTCTTTATTCCTAATTGCTTATTTCTTCTTCTACTGTAGCCGCATCATTATTGTCAGAACATGATATCAAAGAATAACATCTCTATTCTTAGGCCGATATTCATAGGCCAGTATTCATAGTCGAGTCTTATTTCAAGACCGTCTTAAGTAATGTCTTAAGATGCTAATACAGCCTTCTGATTGGTTTGTGACATTCTTCTGATATTCTTAAGATCGTACTTAAGACAGTTTTGAATATAAGATTTGATTATGAATTATATCGGCCATAGTCAGATCTTATTCTAGTCAGATCTATTCAAAACCGTCTTAAGAAGTTACGGACCAATCAGAAGACTGCATTAGCCCCTTAAGACATTACTCAATATGGTCTTGAAATCACTCGACTATGAATACCTTAGATTAGGTATATGCCTTAGATTATGTGTAAGCGTATATAAGAGGAGTTTTGCGATTTACACCATCAATATTAATTCAGAAACCTGATTTGATCACACTTTTCTTCAGCATAGAAGCTGAAGACTTGAAAAAAAAGAAATAATCGTGGAATAGTTCTCTTTTTTTCAAGTGATGAATTGATTGGTCGCCGCGGCAAGCTGGGAAGTGGTCGAAAGCAATGAAGATAGACATTCGAGAGTTGTGGCCTTCTCAAGCTGATTGGCCTCTCACCGCTCACTGTAAAAGAGGAACAACTATGTCTGGAGTAGTTCTGTTCTTCAATGTCTTCAGCTTTTCTCGTATGAATGCTCCATCTATCTTGTAAGTCTATGTTTCAAAGTCTAGTTTGGCCTTCTATTCTCTATACTTCATGGTGGAGTTCCATGAGGCGTATTTGCCACGTATGGGTCTGAACACAAGAATTGTCGTAATATTTACTTAGATTTAAATTGTAGATGTAAATAACGCACAAGCTTTCATGTATAACATATAACTTATTACCGTGTCTCCAAGAGATGGCAATAAATTGAACGTCATATGCCAAAGCTTGTACGTAAGATTTTAAACACAATAGGCATAGATAATAGGCACAAATATATAATATCGAACTTACATACCAGAGCTTTGATTGGACAGCTTGTTATTCCCTGTTGCCTGTGCCTATTGTATTTAAGCCTTTACTTACGTCTACAATTTAAGTCTCTAAGTAAGTGTTACAACAATTCTTGTGCTCAGATCCTATCGCGTAAATCCGCCAATCAGTAATCCGTAATGACTTCGACACGCCAGCGCGATGTTCGTTGCACGCGATGTCCAATGAGAATATACCTTTAGAATGAAAACATCGGTAAAGGTGTACACTTGGAGCGCGTGTCGCGCGATATATCGCGCTGATATGCCGGAAGCATTAAGTTTTTGGGGTTTTTGGGGAATTTTACGATATGCTTTAGGGGATAACTTATAAAATTATTTGGCAACACTGGCTTATATATTATATGTTACATATCTAACATCTGACATGATCACATGATCTCGTCCGAAATTGATCGACGTTGAGGCAGTGTCTTTCGAATTTAATCGTTTTTGCATGCACTATGCTTTCACAATTATCGATACTTTTCGCTGTCTTCGCCGCAGGTAATTCTCCGTTCATTTATGAGAAATCTTTTCCAGAATAAGTAGAATACGTCAAATTTTTTGTAATCATATTCCTGTGAAAGTCAATTTATGTTTCAAGATATTTTGTCGAAAAATTTATGAAATTATGTTCGGAATATTTAAACTTAACTTTATGTTAGAACAAAGATCTTTTCTTGAAATTTTAAATTTGCTAAGCCTGAGCGTTGTTTTGCTGAAGGCAGACCTCTGTACTTGTATCATCTTTACAGTTTAATTATCTCAGTGTTTGCTTTTCTAGTTCATGCCAACGGCGAATTCATTGTTTTTCATTCACCAGACAGTATAGAATTCACTATAAATGAACGAGGACATATTGAACAAAGTTATCTTAAGGAGATCTTGTCGGCTTCTCTTGGTTACACTGGGAAGCAGGTATATCATCTCTTGATAGAGTAATTTAAATTTTTGGATATATGTATCAGAAAGCTTTATGAATAAATGTATTTAAAATATTCAAACAGAAAATAAAATTTATTCCTCAAAATTTCAGAGATCTGGTGTACTTGAAATGACGCATATATACATATATCATTTTTCTTACATTGTAAAGCTTTTCTGTTATTTTTAGTTGAATTTCTTGCACAGTTCTTTTTTTCTCCTTTTCTTTCTATGTTGGAAAAAAAAATGAGAGAAAAGGAACTATGTAAGAAGTTTAGGTAAATAGAACAAACCTATGTTATATTTGAAAAGTTATTCACTGTGACAAAAATATGTTTGTGACTTTACAGAAGGATTCAGAACATAGCATTGTCATATGGGATCCATTTTCAGTACCTAAGGCATTGGTTGCTATAGTGGTTGAAGGAATAGAACAATTACCTTTCTTAAAAGGTAAAGCTAAAATTACATGTCCTCTGATTGATGATGAAGCAGAAGAAACTACTTGGCAAGCGATTAGAAGCAGAGTGGATGAACGAAGCAATGATAACACATTGGTCAGGATTAACTTGAGCGATGGAGTTGATGCTGTAAGTATTAAATAGACTGATAATTTTAATAGCATCACATAAAAACGAAACTTATTTTAATAATTTGACTTTTTATTATTGAAGATACTAAATAATCCTAGATACTAAATAAGATATTTCTAATACAGCTTGGCCAGTCAGCTCTCGGTGAGCTTAAGCCTACTAAAATTGAGAAGTTAAAAGCTCTGAATTCAAAGATTGAGGAAGATCATAAATTCGTTGAGGAGATACAGCTTCTTCATGCCATTGGTGATAATGCACTTTCTGCAAAAAAGCATGATTCTGGTACAGATGTTTATTGGCTGGTAGTATCAACACTCAAACCATGTTTGGAAATGCATGGAAACAGTTCTGCAGCTGCTGAGGAGGCATATCAGTTGTTAAATGATGGAATAGAACATGTTTCCAAAGGCTTTTTAAACATTTATGACGGAAAGGTGCATAAATTTATTCATTTTATCTGCAAATTTCATCAATAATTAAAAATCAATATTTTTTAGCATATTTGCATGCAGTTTGTATGTACAAAAAATAATTATATATTCAGAATGAAAATAATCTAAATATTCTTGACTCAAGAATTTAAAAAAAAAAGTAAAAATTACCAAAGGAGAAAGGCTATGAGTCAAAGCTAGTTATTAATTTTTAATTAATCTATCTTTAATATCCAGTCGATATAAACATTTAATATACAGACGTTTTAATCTTCATTTGGTAATTTTCAGTGTAAAACATAAAAATTAAATAATTGAAAATAAAAATAAAGATAAAAATAATAATAGAATCGCAATATCGGTTACATAATCATTAAATATTTAAAGTAAAGAATGTATAATGTGAAAGGGCTATGAACCAAGCTGAATATTTTGTGCTAATACACAAGAAATCTGTATTGATGATATGATATAGAATAGATAATATTTAACAAATATTTCGACTTCAATCGGATCATTCTCAATGTTAAATAAATTTAAAAAAATGTTAGGAATATAACACATTTTTTACACCTGCATATATTAAAACTCAGTAAAAAATCGATTTAGGAAATAATATGAATACGAAAACTGTATCTCTAACTGATATTGTGTAATCTTTGATCACGACAGTTTTCAACATTTTTACAATATGTTGAAGACTCGTAATCAAAGATTAGACAATATCAGTTAGAAATATAGCAAAGCTATTTTGTAACTCTTAATGCAAGTTTCGTTATCATTATATCATTGTTGCGCAGCTTTTTTACCATGATAAAACGTAATGCTAACGAAGCTTGCGTTAAGAATAAAGGCCTAGGACATTGTATTCGTATTATTCCTTGGGTTTCCGATTTCTCTGTTTGAAATCATAGTGCCAGAACATTATATATATCAAGTCTACAGCCTCTTCGGAAAGCAAAACTCATTTATTTTCACTTTTTTCAATAATAGTAGATTTATTCACTCTCAGAATCAATTAAAGGACCTGCAGTTTAATGCCAAATCAGAACAGCGCTGATGACTTCTCTTAATTACTAGATGGAGCTTTTTCGGTTTCTGAAACACAAAAAATCGCATATGGACATAGGTGGGATTGAACCCGTCTCTACAGACCGCAAGTCAATCACCGAGCGACAAGCTACTTGGCGTTCTCATATATAGCCATTAGTATATTAAATATTTATATCGATTGAATATTAAAGATTGATTAATTATTAGCAATTAACAACTAGCTTTGACTCGAAGCCTTTTTTCTTTGGCAATATTCAGAATGCTTTTGAATATCTGTTACAGATTGTTATTGCAATTTTCACGAACGATGCTTGGAAGGTGAGGAATGCACGGTCAGTTCTTGAGAGAAAGCGCAGAGACGACCTCCCGGTAAGTTATTCAATAGTGTATCTTGTATAAATTTTACAATTGAATGTGTTTTAAGCAGAATTGAAATTTTTTGAGAACATTGATCAAAGAAAGAAATATATATTTGAAAAAATGTATACATGTATAATTAAAGAATATGATAATTATATTGATATCCAAACTGATGATAGAAGTTATACGATATGATATAATTAAGCATTTCCATTTAAGACAAACTCAATTGTCTTAATTTATGGGTATAGTTCTTTGAAGAAATCTTTGTTATATTTTATTATTGAGATGATTATAGTATGTGTATTGTGTCAAATATAAAAACATGTGATTATTGAAATTCAGTTTATTTATTTTTTAAATTATTTGCAAGAAAAATAATTCTGTATTAAAATAAAAAAAAAAGATTACATTCCTCATATTAAAAATAAAATTTACAATAGAATCAGCAAATGAGAGTATCGCAGTACTTTGCGTGTAAAGTTTCAATATATTTTATGATTAAAAAAACAAATTTTTCAGCCACCTTCAACAAAACGAAAAAATAAATACGAGAAATAAAATTAAAATTTTATATTATTCATTTTTATTATTTTCCGACAATACATAATATATAGGATATCTTAGACCTACCGCATCACCTGTTAAGCAAATGTCTGAAATCATTTTAAGACAAAAATGATACCAAAATGTTGAGGCTAGTTTAAAGGAGGAAGTATTTATACAGATAGAAGATTCAAATCAGTGTAATATACCAAGAGTTGGACTCGACGATAAAGATAGAAGTTCGACTTGTATTAGGGTGCATTCCGAATTACACATGAAGTGGATGAGATATTCTTTAATGAACAATAAGGACAAATGATGCATCATTGCTAAAGAAGATCGTAAAATGAAGTCCGAATTTCGATGAGATTGCTTTTATCGATAAAATGTGACACGCCAATATATCGTTGATCGCGTTCAGCAGACTCATTGATGTAAGAATACAAGGTGTATCATTGCGTATAATGGCGATAGCAATACTAGAAACAACCAATCAAATTTTGACCATAATTCACTCTCCTACTGCGAATCCTCGGGAATGATATATCTTGTCTTCTTACATCATGGACTCAACTGTTGCGGAACGGATCTGTGAGCGCTCGCTGCTATTGGATGATTTAAAAGAATATATCGATAATAGCGAACGCGAAAATAATTATATTGTTATAGTTATAAATTACAATATTTTTTTGGTAAGTTTATTGATAATTACGTTTTTTTTGGTAACTGTAACGATAACATAGTTATATTTTTTTTTGAAACGATAACGAATCTTATTTATTATTAGTTATTTTTATCATTACCTTGCACACAATGAACACAGTTCAATTGGACACAAGCCATAATGCTTGAGATTAGAAAGCTCTTGGGTACCCGTCGGCTGTAATTGGTGATCATTGATCTTAAAAAAATAACGGAAAAATAACGAAAAGTTACTTTCTGAAGTAATGATAACGAAAAATCGATAACTTTTCTACTCAGTAACAAGTAAGTGTAACTTGTTACTTTTAAAAATTAACTTTCCATACCCTAAATATTATCTAATAATCAGATATTAATGAAAATCTAAAATCGATGAATGATTTTATTGCAAAAAATATTGCCTCAGTCAGGTACAGTTTATTCTCATTGGCCCAAATTTATACCATATTGTTTATCACATGTCTCTTTAAAATATGATGTTTGCTTACTAGTTATTGGTTATTGTGATAAATATTGCCGAAGTTTCTGATCGAATTGGTATGCTCGTCTCGGAAAGTTGTGAGTCCCAAGTTCAAATCCTGGATGAGATAATATTTTTCGCCATAAAATCATTCGCAGATTTTAGATTCTCATTAACATTTGATTATTAATATTCTTATAAAGATGCTTATTAGCATCAAAAATTATTAAATTACTTATCAATTTAATAAGTCAATTTAATATTTTCACTTTGATTCTGTTCACTGTTGTTCTGTTCAGGACTGAAAAAGGTTTCAGTGTATAGTTTTGCAGAATGAGATATGTATATAAATTTACATAAAATATTTAAGCACTAAGAATCGCTTTGACCAAATGTAGGAATAATTCTCTTATTTAATTAAAATTATAATTCAAATTTTATTTGTAGATAATTTGTCAACACAAAAAAGTCTATTTTATCAATATATTCATAAGACAGATTTGCTAGTTCGATGCATAACATATTTTAAAATATTTCTTAAAATAATATTTGTGTCGCTTTTAGTATTATCAGCATATATAGTAAATAATAGTAAATAATATAGTAAAAAATTCATTAAATAAATAAGAAAAGTTACGAAGAAAAAAGAACAACAACAAATAAATAAGAGCCAATATTAAAAACGATCAAATATTAGGTATATTAATAACTAATAATTAATTACTATCCAACGAGATTTGACTTCTTTTTTCTACGACAACCACAACTTGCATTTTTCAATAAATTCAAGGTCGCTGAAGGTCGAAGTCCGTCAACAAAAGATGCCATCACGTCAGATTTTTGAGATAAATCGAATAATATAATAAGCCAAAAACAGCGTTACCATTTTTTTTTTTGGCTAAATAAAATTTGAAGACATCTTAATTGATGCAACGAATAAGAAAAGGCAAATTTTAAACAACCCGATTGGCCTTTAAACACTTTATATTCGAAAACTATTACAACTATTCTCAATATTTTGGTATATAAATTTTTATTTCAAAATGATTTGAAGAATCTGCCATTAATGGTACGGTAAATCTAGAACACTCTTGTACAATATAATATATTGATACAAAATAATATATAATGTTATTGTATATGTATATAATGTATAATATTATATAATATAACTAATTTTGCAACCGATTTACTAAGTAAGTATACCTATATACCATGATTTTTATCTAAACGCTAGTTAATCAAAATTTATTCTCTGTTCCGGAAGATAATAGAAAAGACAATAACTTTACTCCAATTATTCAGAACTATTAATCGCCATATGTTAGTTCGCTTAAAATTATTTATTCTTCGTTTGTACTATTTTTAATTATTACGGGATATTTTGTAGGCTCGTAAGACTAAAAATGTTAAATCTACTGCCAAAGGAGCGCCAATTAATTCAAACATTAATGATAATTTTTTCATCAAGGTATCGTGTCGAATCGCATTGCATGGGTTATTATTTGATTGAGAGTGTTTTTTCCAAATTAGAGATAGCTTTTTGCATGGATATCGCGAACACGATGAATTACTCTTTAATTATTCTAATCAACAAACTTACAAACTTGTCTATCCAAATATCCATCGTCTTCTTTTTTTATATATTTTCTTCGAGTAAACTTTAATAAATCGTCAAAACTTGGTATCAACAAATAAATACTCGCTAAATCTTTAACATTCTGATATCTTTAAACAATAAAATTTGAAACTCGGTGAATTTTCACCCGTAAATTTCCATCAATGAATTTAGATAATTGCTAATATGATCTTTGATTTCTTTTAATATGATTGTTAATATCTTTGAGCTTGATTAAATTCCAAAGTTCGGTATGAGCTGAATATTTATCACAGACAAATCCTTGAAATGATTCAAGATCCGTACAAATAAATAGAATTTGAAACTCAATCGATAAATCAATGTACTTGGCAAACTTAAGTCCTTCTAGTATCTTTGAAGTTTTGAGGACTGGGCTTGCTTTAATCAGATACTTTATTCAGATATTGAACAATACTGATTGTAGCGAGCCGGCGAGCAAGATGAGCAAAATAATAAAATGGATGAAGAGGAGTATAGAATGCGTAGTACTATCGAATCCAACACAGCACTTGACAGCACTACTGAACGTACGGGCGTTCAGGATAATAGCGGAACGTCGGAAAAGTCCGACGAAGTTAATACGGAGTATAAGATAAATACTAATACACAGACAATAGGACAGGTATCGCAAACATATTAACATGCATCGCAATCGATGGGTCTAGGGAAACACTAGATAAGTCCATTTTTTTCTCAATGTTTGCGTTCTGATGCTATTGTATGATTACACAAGAAGTAAACAATGATGACTAATTTTTTTTATTAATTTTTTAAGATTGATAATATAATGTTGTTAAAAGAAGAAGTAAATTTTATATGAAAAAATTGTATTAAAAAGAAGTAAAAAAAAAATAAAATCAGAATAAAATTCAATGAATACCGTTTAAAACGCATTTTTCGAATATGCTGAAATGCTTAAGTAAACTTATCATTTTAAGAAAGCTGTATTAAGCAATAAAATTTCAAAATTTAGGCGCGTAGAAAAAGTCGACAAAATGTGACTTGTCAAGTCCTTTTCCTAGGTCCTTCAGTTATTTTCGTTCTGCCAGACTTTGCCAGAATATTAGCGCACCTGAGTTCTAAGGAGATGAATAATTAATTTAATGTTTATCAAGTACTCCAGTAGAACTAAACAATATTAACAAGATATCTTCAACATTTATGTAATTCAATTTTAGTCGCTAGTAAGATTATAGAACTGCTTTCTTTTGCATTGGATTGCTATAGATGTCAGTTAATGTGAATGATATTTAATCATAATGATATCGGAGAAAAAATCATAATCTTGTATTCTAGGCAATGGTCGAATAAATGTAAATGGGCCTAAAGATAATCAAAAAAGTTTTCAGAACTGCAGCACAGATTCTTTCAAGTACTTGTGCAGGAGAATCTGCGCTGCAATTCTGAGAACTTGTATCCGTGGTTATTATCGATAAGTTTTCTCTGTTATGATCTTTAGGCTCGTTCATATTTATTCGACTGTTGCCATTATTAGCAACAGGATTATGATTTCCTTTCCGATTTGTTTTTAACTAAGCGGCAAATTTTAACAACTTTTGTATTTGAGAAGTGAAAGGAATTAAATCCAAGAAGTTACACTTCTTCCGGATGAATTACCATAAATATGATTGCACAAAATGCTGACAATTTCGAGCTTGTTGTTTTGTGCTTCTCAAGTGCAGAATTATAATCTGCATGAAGGCTTATCAATTGCATGCATATATTCTAATCATGAATCTATAAGTAATATGAATTTTTGATAGCAAATTTTGGTTAGGGAAGATTTAACTAGCCAATTAGTTATTTAGCAAGTATTGGAAGCAAATCTTATTGATAAGTTACAAATTCTTAAATTATTTTGTATGTAACTTATTTTGTATGTTAATTCTGAAAACCTTGGTATTTTTTATGTATACGCTGAATTTCTAATATGTTGAAGTTTTAAATCTTATTCGTAGATGTTAGGAAATGTAGAGTGCTATTAATTTAAATTAATAAGTATTACAAAAAAGGAGAGAAAGAAGAGAGAGAGAGAGAGAGAGAGAGAGAGAGAGAGAGAGAGAGAGAGAGAGAGAG